GAGGTATATCTAATTATATAAGTAAAGAATGCACTTTTGACACAACAGGGTTTAGCCCTAAAACCAGATATGTGACCAGCAGTGGTGTCAAAAGTCCACACATTTGTTACTTAAGTAGAAGTATAGATACTTCAGTTTAAAAACACTCTGGTAAAAGTTGAAGTATCAATTTGACCTCTTTACCCAAGTAAAAGTGAAAAAGTATGTGCTCCAAAAACTACTGAAAGTATAAAGAAACCTTTAAAAAAAAACAGCCAGATGCCGCTACATGAACTGAAAGCTAAATTTTTCGACTATTTCTAAAAATTCTTTGAGATAAAGCTAAGGATGAGGGAGGTCTTGATGGTCTCCATCTCTCGATACGTTCTGGCCTGTGTCCGACCTTTCAGACATTTCAACATCTTTTTCTGAATCCTCCATTGTAGCATGACATAGACAATTCACGTTTTCAGTTTGAAGAACACCTGCTGCTTCTGATGATTAACTTTAGCTAACCAATGAGTGTTTGCATTATATGACTCATCTAATTACACTAGTTTTCACTAGATGTGGATGGAGCCAATGATCTGCACTGGATGGCGAAATAAATATTTATAAACATTAAACCGAAGCCAAGAGTAACGAGTAATGTTTGTTTTAAAAATGTAAGGAATAGAAAGTACAGATACTTGGGTGAAAATGTAATGAGTAGAAGTCAGAAGTAGGAAGAAAAATAAGTAATGGAGTAAAGTATAGATACCTAAAAAAGTGTACTTAAGTACAGTAACGAGGTATTTGTACTTCGTTACTTGTAACCTCTAGTGAGCATTACATTTTTTTAATCATGTATAATTACATTTAGCTGATTCAACAATCTGAATTAATTTTAATTTTTGAGACTGGAGATGTTCTGTTTGCATAAAATTTTAATTGCTAATAAAAAACTTTAGATTAAATCAGTATGACTTTCCATATCCATGAGTACGGAAGAGGATTAGGGCCTAAGAAAAAATTAAAAAGGTTAACTGAAATTAAATGTTATTAAATTCAGTTAACCAATTTAAAATATATATCATTTCAGTTTAATATGGGAAAAAGTCAGAATTCTGACCTATTTCTCGGAATTCTGACTTTAATCTCGGAATTTTGGATCTTAATGTAGACGGGCACCATGAAGGAAGGGATGTGGGAGCACTCAGGTTCACTGACAAAGATGTGAGTTGTTTGGGAGGGCCAGGAACACATTGGTGGGAAATGATGGAATTATGCAACTTTTTACGTGCCTGAGGGTTCCCTGGTGATGCTGTTTCATTAAAGGAATAGTACACCCAAAACATGATTAGCCATTTTCTACTCACCCCCATGCTAAACAACACTCTGGAGTACTTTTTTGATATCTCAAATGCATCTGGAGATCTGGGAGGCTTCTTGCTGTCTGCTGACATTCAAATAATGGAGGTCTATGGTGCCCGAGGCAGAAAGGTCCATAAAAGTCCACAAAAAACATGTCAGT